TTGTTCTACGACATGCCAGAAAGCAGCCTGGAAGAAAGGCCATAAACAGATTTGTAACGCAATTCATTCTAAAACAAACAACCCGTCTCACCTTACTATAAAATCGTAATAATTTTTCCATATTTTTTTTCTCAGTCCAAAGTGAACATCAACGACAGTTAAGATCCTTGTCTATGATTCAAACAATCTATCAAAAATTAAAAATGCTTCCACCATCTCAAGTAAACACCAATTTTTACAATATTCAAACACGAGCTTTTATCACTAACATTATTTAGTATTCTAACGTTCATTTTTTAACCCAAGTGTCCACAAATATGCAGTGTTTGTTTAACACAAGTGTCCACAAATATGCAGTGTTTTTTTGGCTCTTTGCCTTGTGCTAACTTGTATTTCAGCATGAACCTATATGAGACGTTTACATCTAGTCCTCAAGTCCACCCTCTAATCCCAATCCTAAGGCTAAATTTTCATTTCTCGTCATGTCTTTAATACTTTAGGAATCTTACAACTCAAAGGCAAACACCAAACTACAATACCAATTCTAAATTAACAAACACCAAACTTTAATACCAGTCCTATATTAATGAAAGATATTAACATGTTCCAAATTGTTTTACAGATCACCTTTCCGGCATGTGTTGAGTGCAGACAAGCTATACCGCCATTCATATCCTGTGTGATGTTACCGAACTTCCCCTGTGTGATACCTTCTTTAGATACCCTATGTTACACCATTCCATTCCCTTCTATAGTTTTTGATGCGTTAAATATGTTACTACGATTTTAACAAGTGTTGCATACGTTTTTCATATTGTGACGTGTTATATATAGTTTTTAGGTTTAAAAATGAACCCGGTGTAACGTATTACATCTGATTTTCAGATTTTGCCGTATGTTGCAGACCTATTTCCAACTGTGACATGTATTATATAACGTTTTCAGATGCTGGCACATGTGTTGCACACGGTTTCGGATTGTGATCTATATTATGTTTGTTTTTCAGATTCTTGGATATTTTGCACACTGTTTTCGGATTGTGACGTGTTACACATGATTTTCAGGTTTATAAAATGTTACCCATGTTTTTCAGTCTTTTACACCTGTTACATCGGAATTTCAGATTTTAGTATTTGTTTGCATATGGTTTTCCACTTGTTGACCAGTATAACTTTGCACCTTTTATTTATCCTATCTTTTATCAAAGAATTAGCAATAACTGATTTTTTAATGGTTTTGATAACTTGTTATCATAATCCTATAATATCATACGTGTGACTTTGATAACTTGTTAAAATTGTCCTATCATTTCATATGTGTGATATTGATACCTTGTTACTATAATCCTATATATAATACGTGCGACACTGATAAGGTGGCGCTCTACAGTTTCGTATTTAGCATAGGGTTAAAATTTTAAAGAAAAAGAGTTTCCCCGGGTTTCCTCACTAGTTATACTGGTGTTTTAAAAGAGACTTTGTATATCTTAGGTATTGTTCAAAAAACCTTTAATTCCCTTTATTTTGATGTATGATTGATGGGTGTAATATGGGTTAGAGAGTATACAGCTTGACCTTACTGCAGATGTGAACCTTTCAAAAAAGTGCTAGCTCTACTTGCTCATTTTCACTTCTCGAACTTCAGAGGTAAATTGTAAAAAAAGAGCCGATAACTTTTTTTACATTTTATGTATTTGGTAATTCAGTCATTGCACTTTTAGAAGCTGGTATTATCTAGTTTGGCAAAATTCATTTTCCATATTTTAATAGCTGCCAAGAATAGTGTACTTTAGACAAATTTTGGTTGATTTTTGGAGCACAAGGGAGCAGCCATTTTAGTTCACAGTGTCCTAAGCTCAATTTAAATTTTCAAAAGTACAATATCCAAAGAAATTTCATCCACATTACATGAAAGTAGTATATAGGTATGCCAACATTCTCTCCACTGTGCATGTTTAAAATGCAAACAACTTCACCTTACATACATCACTCTCTCAAAAGTACATAATAACTGGTGAGCGCCACCATAAAGAGTATATAGAAATTATTATTGTATGATTTAGTTTTGATTGTATGGCTGAAATATTTAAGTTGCAAGCATCAAAACAGTCCTTTGTAATAATTGTCCTATATTTTCCCCCTCAGAACAGCATTTATTAGAGTCAGAGTCTTAAACCGGTACAGCCCCCCCTCCTTATGATAAAAAGTGAACAATTTTAAAAATGTGCATTGCATTTTGTCAACATAGCAACCAGTGTTATGCTGATAGACAGGAACATGAAACTAACCATATTTATTCCTAAAATGTCAACAATAAATTTTACAATTATAAAAGGGATAATACAGGTGAGGTTCATAAAGGTCAAAGGTCAAAGGGTAAAATATTAACTAATTTTTTGATATGGAAGATAGCAAATTTGCTTTGTTATCATTTAATTTTTAATTTCATTGCAAATAAATGAAATGAAACATTTTCACTATGTATTTCTGTTATTTATTGCAACATTTTTCAATTTAAGTTGACTTTATTTCTATATTCTAAGACTTCTAATTTCCCCATAATGAAGGTCACTACTCACCCAAAAATGCCTCATAGCAAAGTAGGTATGCTAGAGCAAAAATAAGCATAATTAGCTTATTTTCATGAATAAAATCATTCTTAATGTACCATTTTACTCAGAAGATAATACATAATAATATGAAAATAAGAAAAATAATTTCATATATGTTTATATCTGTTTTTAAGGTGGCGCTCTACAGTTTCGTATTTAGCATAGGGTTAAAATTTTAAAGAAAAAGAGTTTCCCCGGGTTTCCTCACTAGTTATACTGGTGTTTTAATAGAGACTTTGTATATCTTAGGTATTGTTCAAAGAACCTTTAATTCCCTTTATTTTGATGTATGATTGATGGGTGTAATATGGGTTAGAGAGTATACAGCTTGACGTTACTGCAGATGTGAACCTTTCAAAAAAGTGCTAGCTCTACTTGCTCATTTTCACTTCTCGAACTTCAGAGGTAAATTGTAAAAAAAAGAGCCGATAACTTTTTTTACATTTTATGTATTTGGTAATTCAGTCATTGCACTTTTAGAAGCTGGTATTATCTAGTTTGGCAAAATTCATTTTCCATATTTTAATAGCTGCCAAGAATAGTGTACTTTAGACAAATTTTGGTTGATTTTTGGAGCACAAGGGAGCAGCCATTTTAGTTCGCAGTGTCCTAAGCTCAATTTAAATTTTCAAAAGTACAATATCCAAAGAAATTTCATCCACATTACATGAAAGTAGTATATAGGTATGCCAACATTCTCTCCACTGTGCATGTTTAAAATGCAAACAACTTCACCTTACATACATCACTCTCTCAAAAGTACATAATAACTGGTGAGCGCCACCTAACTTGTTACCATGATCCTCTAATATCATGCGTGTGACGTTGATAATTTGTTACCATGTTACCATGGTCTTATAATATACGTGTGACACTCATTACTTGTCCAATGATATACCCAGTTTTTCTGGTTTTTGGTAACGTATGGGCATTGTTGGATTTGTTTATCACATGACTTTTATAAAATATTCACTGACATTACTTGTTTTTTTTTTGGTCCTCATAAATATTGATATTTTTTAAGGGAATGTTTTAATGCAGTTTTGCACTATGAACATTATTCGAACTGTGAGTGTCTGTCTCTATGAATGTAGATAACTACATAAATGTATATAAAAACGAAAAAAGGGCTTATCTGAGAGAGGCATTAAGTGGCGGAATTTTAGCAAACTGTTTCAAGGACTTGTCCTTGTAAGAAATTAAGTGGCGAGACCACTCTTAAAATCAGTTGTCTGAAGGACATATCTGAGTTGAAAATTAAGTGTCGGGATGACAACGTGAATTTAGTATACTGTCTTAAGGACTTTTCTGGGTGGAAAATTAAACGACGACATGACCGCTTGAATGTTAGTAAACTAATTTATTCGCAGTAAAATGAATTGATATTTCTTACAGATATATGACCGCTATAGAGGTAGCTGTTGATTTCTTCGTTGTGTAATCCTTCTTACCTTCTTATGTGTAATCCCTTCGATGTGTTGTTGTTGTAGGGTTTAACGCCATTTTCAGCACAAGATTGGCAATACTTGGCTGCCAGTATTAATGGTGGAGGAAGAACCCTGGAAAACCCCGGGAAGAACCACGACCCACGAGAAGCTACTGGCAGGCTTTCTCACTTACCCATGTCAGCCGAGACGGGACTCGAACTCACGCAGACAGAAGTGAGATGGCAGTGATCCGTAACGGTTAGCGCTGCGATATCCCTCCGCTATGTAATCCCTTCGTTGTGTAATCCCTCCGTTGTGTAATTAAACTTTTAATATTTTAAAATATTAGATTATTATAAAATATATGCAAGCAGTCGTTTTGAGAAAAGTCAAAGGTATTATCTGTGATAGAAAGTAAACATTTACTTTAAACAAATTATATGTATTATCAATATAAGACTAAATACATGTGGTCAGCGTGGAGTAAGTATATTAATATATAGGCACTTAGTCAGGCATGTAAGTAAGCTTGTAATTAAATAAGTAGTTATTAAGATAAATTTATATATATACGTACGTATCTAGGTAGATAGCGATGTACGTATGTAGCGATGGACGTACGTACGTACGTACGAACTTATGTAAGTACGTAGCGATGTACGTACGTATATACGTACATAGGTACGTATGTATGTAGGTAGGTAGGTATGTATGCAGGTAAGGTGATGTGATTATGAATTTTAATGTAGCTTTAACAATGTTTTAGTCATATCGCTACGATGTCTGCAGTGAGGCAGTTTATAGTGATGTCTAGCACTGGGGCATCATGCCGCTGACATGTAGCATGAAGCCCCACAATGTCACATTATCCTTTCAACAGGCCTATCAGTCCTAATACTAACCTATTATTGCTGAGCGCCAAGCGAGACAGCTATTAGTACCATTTTTGTAAGTCTTTGGTATGACTCGAGCGGGGATCGAACTCATGACCTCCCGCATGCGAGGCGTACGCTCTAACCACTAGGTCATCCGGAGCGGTTTGTATGTAAGGCATATATGTATGTATGCACGTGTATATATGTTTTTGTAAGTATGCATGTAAGACTTTCTGTATTTCCTTTTAAAAAGAGATTTCATTCAGTTATTTTTTCATTACTGCACAATGAAAATAGAAACAAAGCTTGATATTAATGGATACACAACAAATTTAGCAAGTGGTATATACCTATACAAGTAGAGAAAACATGTCTAAACACATGAGCGAAGAGAGCTCGTTGATGTGATTATGTGATGTGAGTATGATTTTTAACGTAGCTTTAACACTTTTTCCGTCATATCTCTACGATGTCTGCAGTGTGGCAGTTTATAGTGATGTCTAGCACTGAGGCATCATGCTGCAGACATGTAGCACGATGTCCCACCCATATGTATGTATGTATGTATGTATGTATGTATGTATGTATGTATGTATGTATGTATGTTCTCTGCATGAGATGAAGGTTTATCCTCCGTATCTCAGTGAAGTTTATCTATATATGTTCGAGCTCAATGTTAAGCGTTAAACTTATAATATAACTTAGGCCTTGGTGTCATTTCTTGAACTCTGATATATTTCTGTTTAAACTCGGATTATTTTGTTTGTTTTTATATAACCTTTTGCATGTTTATTGTATCAACTCATTTTCAAAAGAGGGCTAGAGTTCAAATACCGTTTGTTTCATATTTAAATTCATATGTATTACATGTTTAGAAAAGATTGACTGGAGTTCAAAATGACTTCAATTCATGTTTTGAAAAGAGGAAACATAGTTCAAGAAGCGTTCATTTCATAGGTGCTTGAGCAATTAAAACTAGTTTGTGACCATACAACGTTCATTCTATGGTGTAACTAGCTTTTCTGAAACTTGGTCTTCAGATTCTGTTTCGTATATTTTATGGATTGCTCGTCCCCATGATCAGTCACGGAATAAATAGAATCTGCTCATTAATTTACAACTGTGAGAACTTTTAGGTGAAACGTTAGGCACAAATACGATTACATGGCATACAGTAAACGTTAGGCACAAATACAATTAAATGGCATACAGTAAACGTTAGGCACAAATACAATTAAATCGCGTACAGTAAACGTTAGGCACAAATACAATTAAATCGCATACAGTAAAGGTCCAGCTCAACGTGACGCATATGGACAGAATAGTTCATGATTGAAATTGTGGACAACAGCAAATTGAGAAGTCTTAACTACGTCTTTCAGACATTCGTATTGATATTGTTCAATTTTGTGTATGCCTATTTCCTACAGATTGTAAAGAACTAGAACACTGTCTTCATGCCTGTGACACTGTAAGATGAATAGAACCGAAATCATTGTTTATGCCTGTGACTATGTAAGTTGAATAGAACCAGAACTCTTTTGGATAAATAGAAGCAGAAATAGTTTTGAGTGAATAGAACCAAAACATTTTTGTGTGAATAGAACAAAAACACTGTTGGGTTAATATAACCAAAACAATGTTTATGCCAGTGACCACCAATACTATGTTTGTGACTCTGGAGGATGAATAGAACCAAAACATTGTCTATGATTGTAACACTCAAGGGTGAATAGAACCAAAACACTGTCTATGATTGTAACACTGAAGGGTGAATAGAACCAAAACACTGTCTATGATTGTAACACTGAAGGTTGAATAGAACCAAAACACTGTCTATGATTGTAACACTGAAGGGTGAATAGAACCAAAACATTGTCTATGATTGTAACACTGAAGGGTGAATAGAACCAAAACATTGTCTATGATTGTAACACTGAAGGGTGAATAGAACCTAAACACTGTCTATGATTGTAACACTGAAGGGTGAATAGAACCAAAACATTGTCTATGATTGTAACACTGAAGGGTGAATAGAACCAAAACACTGTCTATGATTGTAACACTGAAGGGTGAATAGAACCAAAACACTGTTTATGATTGTAACACTGAAGGGTGAATAGAACCAAAACATTGTCTATGATTGTAACACTGAAGGGTGAATAGAGCCAAAACATTGTCTATGATTGTAACACTGAAGGGTGAATAGAACCAAAACACTGTCTATGATTGTAACACTGAAGGGTGAATAGAACCAAAACATTGTCTATGTAACACTGAAGGGTGAATAGAACCAAAACACCGTCTATGATTGTAACACTGAAGGGTGAATAGAACCAAAACACTGTGCATGCCTGTGAATCTGATGGTAGTCCGAGTTTTCTCTGACTCTTGACACCCCATTTTTGATATTTGTTTTTTTATGTTGGTGTGTAGGGTTAGAGTCTATTCCCTATCAAAAACTTGGAATTTGCCGACACCATTTGGTGTCGGCATAGGGTACTATCAGGACTAGCAAATTTAAATGACCTTACATTGACCCATACTTACATTAAATCGATATGGAAATCATTAATCTTCTCAGAAATTACAAGTAAAACACCGATTTTGTCTTTAATCCGTTGTCAGACAAGAGGAAACTACAGTGTTGAAGAATTTTGACCTCGTTCGCTCCATTTTCATTGCTAGTCACATGACTAACCAAATCTCGCGGTTAAATAGACACGTGATGAAAACAAAACCGTGTTGACATGTAGTTTCAGCGTGATCAGTCAGCCTCTTTCCAAATGGTGTCGGCAAATTCTAAGTTTTTAATAGGGAATATACTCTGATCCTACACCCGAACACAAAAAACCAGATATCAAAAATGGGGTGTCAAGGGTCAGAGGAACTCGGACTACTCTAAAGGGTGAACAAAATCAAAACAGTTTATGCATGTGACTTACAAGAGTGAATAGAATCCAAGCAATGTGTATGCCTGTTGTTCAATAGGGTGAATAGAACTAAAACACTTTTTTTATGTCTGTGACTACCATGTGCGTGTGTGCAACTAGAACGCTGCGTATAAGTCTAATGCTCATCTTCGTTAGCCAAGGTTTCTATCTTATAACCACATATACACATTGGCATATCAAGCAGATAGTTCTGTACTTCGGATATGTAACTTTCATTGGATGTGGCGGCAATCCACCGAATCCAATCAAAATTAATTTGCTTACAGTTGAACAATGCACATCCACTATCGAGACCAATGGAGCATACAGGTTGAATGGACTGATAAAGAAGCACTTTTCAAGTCCCTAACCGTGGTTCCACAAATACCTTTCAGTGAAATACATCTGTAGTGGATTCCCTCTAGTTCACAGTCATACTTTTGATATAAAAAATCTAAAGTATCCTTATGTCGCCAATCATTTTCGGCCGATGTACAATGCACCAATCTCTTGTTTTCTTGGCATAAGTTTTGTTAGCTCCCTATATCAAGAGAAAATGAAGTGGATTTTGCTGGTAGTAGTGTCTTGGTTTGTACAACAATTTATTTTAGTTTAGCACTCCCATCGCCATGGGGATGTTTGGTAGGTGATATGGGTAGGTAGTGAGATAGAATGGTTTCCTTCACATCTATGCTCTAAGTATAAAAAGTATAGCGTTCATCATTTGCTTCATTCTACACCAAAATGTTATTATTTACGGTTTCTTTAAATAATGCAAGAAGTTTAATACAACCTAAATGACCAACCCCACTTCTGACCATTACTGAACTTGCCAGATGCATTGATACACAGAGCTGACCAAAGAGACATTAATTTTCCAGACAAGACATTCAGGGAAGATTGATTGATTAATTGATTGATTAAATTTTAACGGCGCACCAGCACTTTTAGGCTATTTAGCGCCATACAGTAGGTCATATTTGTAAAAAGGTTCAATATCGACCAGCGATATAGTAAAAAATCCATAGTAGATAAATATAAAATGGTAAATGTTGGTAACAGTTAAAGATATTGGTTCACGATCAACGGGAGATGTAAATGATGTATCTTGATGAAAAGATGTAAATAATAGTTGGTATTGGTATTAGTTAAAAATTAGTTTGGGTAAGTTCATAAAAAGTTACAGTTTAAAATAAAGATTTACTTCCTTTAGGAACTCTAAAATACTAGTGATTTGAATAGTATCAAAAAGTTCCTGCATGTCGTGTACATTATAGTATTTATCACGCGTAGGTTGCAGGTCGGAACACGTGGTCATAAAGTGTTCAACAGTAAATGGTACATTGCAAGGAACGCACTCTGGTGGATCTTCACCTTTTAGTATGTGTGAGTGGGTAATGTATGTATGACCGATTCTGATTCTTGCAATGACAACCTCCTCCAACAACCTTCTTCAGGGAAGAAAAATTTCATCATAAATGATGTTTACGTTAATGATGATATATTTTCATCTGATTGAGGTATTGATATTGGGAACTGTAAAACTATGTCTTGTAGATGGAGCAAATCACAAAGTTCTTACCTGTTGTGAGGTTTTATAATCATGATCAGTAATTAATGCAATGCCATGGCAAGCCAATGTGGAGGGATAAACAAGCATTTACTAATCACAAACAATGATTTTGAACAATGAAAAAAATGATCTGTACAAAACGTAAATAATTTTGCTGCATAAGAAAAACATTTTCTAATCCCCCAAACCAGTTGTTATTTTCTATATTTCAAAAAAATCTCTGAATGTTAAATATTAAAAATAATTTTCTAATATCAGATTTTTTTTTACAATACACTGTATTAAACAGAGATATTAAACAAGTATCCTTAGAATAAAAAAATAATTTCTGTGAGTCTTTTTCTTATGACCTTTTATTCCTTTGAACTGCTGAGTACTGAAACCAGCTCTAATATTCTCGATAAAGTCCAACTTAACAAATTTGGGGAATATTTTTTTATGTTCAAGTTAAGATGTTAACATGTTTGTCACATACAGTACTAAATTCTTTGTCATGGCCATTGACTTTGAACCTGTTAATATGGGCTAAAGATCACCGACATTTACTAACATAGAAAATGTTAACATATACCCACATGTGAAGTTTGGCTTATTATAAATAGTTTTTGGACAAAAAAAATTTATTGATTCAGAGTGTCCTTCAGATATATCAACAA